AAAAAAAAAAACCCGGTGCGCCTGCGCATTGCCGACTGGTTGGCAGCGTTACGGGCTGGGAAGGGGCGGAGTCACGTGTGTGCGTCATTGGATGGGTAGGTGGGAGAGAGGGTGGAGATCGGGGAGGGTCCATGCGCTTGCGCAGTGCGGGGGTGGAAGGTGGTGGAACTACCTAGCACGCTTGCGCGGCTGTCATAGGGCTGCTTGGTTGGTCAGTGGGGAGTCGGCGCCTGCGTACTAAGACCCGTGTGCAGCAGCGGCGGCGGCGCTAGAGGCGGCGGCGGCGGCGGCGGCAGCAGCAGCACAGTAGCGGGTTCGGAGGCAGCAGTTGGGCTCGCGGCGAGCGGACCAAGTCGAGTCAGTGCGTTCGCGCGAGGTGAGAGCGGGCAGGGCGCGCCTGCGCGTAACCTCGGTTTGGGCCAGGAACGAGAGACGGAACTACGCGGGGGTCGGGGAGGGGGGCAGAAGGGAGCGGCGGCTATCGCCGCACGGGTTCGGTGAGGGAGCGGCGCGAGGTGTGGAGAGGCGGGCACAGGGCCCGGTTGGCGCGAGGGGTGACGGTTGGGGCCGGCCGGGTGACGTTGGAGCGACGCAGGGCGGGGGACGGCGAGCCGCGAGGCCGCCACGCGGGAGAGGCCGCCAGGCGGCCACGCCGGGGCGAGGGCCGGGGGCCAGATCGGCCCAGAGAGGGCAAAGGCTCCTGTGCCGTTGAGGACCGGCGCTGTGCGGCCACGTGAGGTGGGGGAGGGGGCTGTTCGGTGAGAGGGCATGTGGAGGGGGTTGGCGGCCGGCGGGGGGAGGGGAGACGGCATGGTCCTGGCCTGGCGCAGCTTTGGGGCAGGGGTGGCCGTAGCACCGGAAGTGTTCCCCATTGGAGGCTGCCCTCGGGGTCCGAGGCCATGCGGCCGAACATGGACCGGGGCCGCATGGCAGCACGGGGACCCCTCCCCCCTGGCCCGGGCCACCGGAAGCCCCGGGCGACCACATGGTGGGCGCGAGCCGGCAACCCCCAGCTCAAGGAGGTCTGGTATTTTTTGGGTTTCTCTGGATCCTTGAATTTTGGTGTGCGGGAGAGACCCTACCCTTGGGTCTCAATCATCCCGCAGGGCCCGTTGCAGGCATATGTTAGTGCTCCCCAGCCTCATGGGCCTCTGGAGCTCATCCCTCAGCCTTCATGTGAAGTGAGACGTCCAGCCATATGTAAGTGGTATTACTTTGCTTGGGAAACCGGGAAAAGTGGGGAAACTGAGGGCGATTGGATTGAAGCCCAACTCTTTCTCGGCCCATGCCGACAGCGCCTGAAAGTAGTGAGATTCTAGTTCCCCCTGCGGTGATCTTCGATCTTCACCTTGCCAGTGCCTCCCCTGTTGTGTTTTGTTTGGGAGTTACTGTGTTTAAGAGTCTTTAACTCTATCAGCCTAGTACGATTTCTATTACTACTACCAATCTTTTGCTTTCATTTTATTGTCATTCACCACCCCTCACTCCCCCACTTTCTACTGACTGTACAGGCTGGGCCTGAAAAGCCGACAGGACTGGTGCATCCTGGGAAAAGTGGGAGGGCCATCGACAAAAGGCTGAGTTCCCTTCGGGAACTGAGATCGAAATGTTTGGCAGTGGGATCATTTAGGAAACTACCTTCTCTCCCTTGACTGCATCTGCAAGTGCATGTTGGAGGCGGGAATCCCTCAAAGAGGCCTTGTGGTTTCCTGTACCAATGAGTGGCTTGTGTGTGGACATGGTTGGGGGGGGAGTATAACAGCTGGGTGGGGCCTTGTCCTCCGTCTCCACCCCTTCATTAGCCCCGCCCTTCAGCTGGCTCATAGCTGCTCACCTAATTATAGTCCTGGCAGTATGTGGGGAAGAGGGGGTGGTTGGTTTCAGTGGCGAGTAACACCTGAGTCCTACCCACTCCCGGGAAGTAGCCCTTTCCTCATCTCTGGGATTTGGCATCCCAACTCCCAGGAGACTTCCTTTCCCTAGTCACAACTTTAGATTTCATTGTGGGGGCCCCGGGGATCCCCAGCTGTTTGCCCCTAATACACCAGCTCTTCAGTATGTTTGACTCCAGTTTCAAAGCAGGAAACCCAACTTTCTTTAGGTGGGTAATGGGATAAGGGGAAGTGGAGCAGTGTCTAGGGAGGAATGGGATAGATGAGTGTCTTGTTAACCTCCATCGTTACTGACCCTAGTTCTCTTGTTGGCTTTAGTTGGAATCGAAGCCTCTTAAAATGGCAGATGATTTGGACTTCGAGACAGGAGATGCAGGGGCCTCGGCCACCTTCCCCATGCAGTGCTCAGCGTTACGTAAGAACGGCTTTGTGGTGCTCAAAGGCCGGCCGTGTAAGATCGTCGAGATGTCTACTTCGAAGACTGGCAAGCATGGCCATGCCAAGGTTAGACTCGCCTCTCCATCTTGCCTTCCCTGCAGCTCCCACATCCCTAGGGCTCTGCGCGGTGAATTGTTGCTTTTAGTCTTGGCCCCTTTTGCTGTTGTAGTCATTTTTGTTCTGCACCCAGCTTTTTGCTCCCATTCAAAACTAAACTGTTCCAGTTTCTTCCATAGGCCACCCGTCATTCTTTCCCTTTCTCCCTCTTTGTGCTAGTTTTCTTTGGGTTTGTTTATTCAGTTTCTTATTCTTGACCTTTTTATTCCTTGGGCTTCTCGTCCAAGATTTCTCCAGTCAAGACCCCCAGGGCAGCATTCTGGGGTGCTCCAGTCTGAATGCTCAGATCACTGTGCCTGCTTCTCCAAGTTCTAGCTTTCCCTGTGGGGTTGTGATGTAGCTCATGTTCTCTCCCTGCTGCTGATTGCCCTCTGTTCTTCGGCTTACTTATATTATAAGACTTGGCATTCTCTTTGCTTAGACTTTTCCTGTCTTCTTCAGAAGTTGAACCTGACTAGTTGACGTTTCTGTGGTTTATTCCCTGTCCTTTTCTGACTCAGTACTAACTACAACAGGCTATCATAAGGCTTGTGCTCCTTCTGTTTTCATTGCACACTGACTCCACAGTTCATTCTGCTCTTCTCCTGGGTCATTGTCGTCTTCAGATCTCTTACATTCCTTTGCTTCATTTTCTCAGCTTCTTCCACTTGTCTTTTTAGCCCATCATATAAATGTTCAAGAAACTTTTCCCTAAATTCCTCCCCAGTACAATAAAACAGTGTCTTGTGTACTCCAGGTCCTCAAACTTGAACATCCTTCCACCTCTACCTTTCTAGTGCTCGGATTGCAGGCATGTGTCATGATTGCTTTATGTGTTAGTATGCATTGGACCCAGTGCATGCTGAGCAAGCATTACTATCAACTGAGTGGTATCCTCAGTCCTTGCCTGTTGATTTTTGTAAATCTCCATGTAAATGAGTTCCCTAACACTGACTTTTCCCTCAGTTTGTAACTCTCAGGTAGTGGTCTTTTAGCTTCAGGTCTTCTAAGGCTTTGGTATGTCTCTCTCACTTGATTCATTTCTAATTCCTTAATCTTTACCCCATAACATGGACTGCTCACTTCTGAGGCAGTGACACAGGTATTTGTCTCATGCTTCAAAGATTGATTTGCAGGGATTCTCTCTATGATATTTGTACACAGGTCCATCTGGTTGGTATTGACATTTTTACTGGGAAGAAATATGAAGATATTTGCCCGTCAACTCATAATATGGATGTCCCCAACATCAAAAGGAATGACTTCCAGGTATGCTTTTAGGATGAAGATGGTTAGTGGCTTATGAAGGGTGGGGTGTGTGTTGACCTGCACCTCGTGGACAAAGGGAGGAGCTGGTAAAGGATATGTAGTGGAGGAAGGCGCTGTCACTGTAGTTGGTCCATCCATACTCTATACTTAACCTAACTGTACCTGCTTTTAACTTCATTCTCCCAGCTGATTGGCATCCAGGATGGGTACCTATCCCTGCTCCAGGACAGTGGGGAGGTACGAGAGGACCTTCGTCTGCCTGAGGGAGACCTTGGCAAGGAGATTGAGCAGAAGTATGACTGTGGAGAAGAGATCCTGGTATGATGCCCTCTCCCTGCTCTATGTACGCTGCTTTGCTCCTTAAAGTTCCTGAGTTAAGGCATCTCTGGACTGCCCTTTTGCTTTTCCAGATCACAGTACTGTCTGCCATGACAGAGGAGGCAGCTGTTGCAATCAAGGCCATGGCAAAATAACTGGCTTCCAGGTGAGTGAACAGCCTTCACTGTCCCCACACATCCTCATTTTCTGTTGAAGTTACTGTCCTATCTTACACATGATTTCTTTCTCTTGCCCAGGGTGGCGGTGGTGGCAGCAGTGATCCATGAGCCTACAGAGGCCCCTCCCCCAGCCAGGTTCTGCTCTGGCTGGGCCCTTGGCTGGACTCCTATTCAATTTATTTGACGTTTTATTTTGGTTTTCCTCACCCCCTTCAAACTGTCAGGAGACCCTGCCCTTCACCTCGCTCCCTTGGCCAGGAATGAGGGAGCCCTGGCCTTGGTGAAGCTACCTGCCTCTTCTCTCGCAGCCCTGATGGGGGAAAGGGAGTTGGGTACTGCTTCTGGTTTAGGTTCCCCTCTTTTTTTTCTTTTTAATTCAATTTGGAATCAGAAAGCTGTGGATTCTGGCAAATGGTCTTGTGCCCTTTATCCCACTCATCCCTGATCTGGTCCCCTGTTCTCCATAGTCCTTCACCCCCCAGCACCACTGTACAGACGGGACCAGCCCCCTTCCCTGCCTGTGTCTCTTCCCAAACCCCTTTAGGGGTGGTGAGAGGAGGAGGGGGGAGGGGACATGATCCCTCCTCAGGCATCTGGGAAGGCCTTGCCCCCACGGGCTTTACCCTCTCCTGTGGGCTCTCTCCCTGACACATTTGTTAAAAATCAAACCTGAATAAAACTACAAGTTTAATATGAAGCCCCCCAACTCAGTTGTTTGTTGACTGATGAAAAGATAAAGATGCTTTTAGAATCTGGCCTTGTGTGGTTTAAGCAGCTGCATGGGAAGCAAATAAACAGCACTCGGGTGTGATGGGTACATTTTGTACATTTTATTGGCTTGGGGCACATAAGACCCCACCCTGAGGGATGGAGGGTGGGCTGGCGGTTACTTGTGATAGAATCGTGGGTTCTGGCTGTGTTGGATGAAAGGGAGTCGAGGACCGGGTTGGCTGGTGGTGGCAAAGCCTGACTGGTAATGAAAAGAGTTTTTATCAGTGGGTAAGTATTTCTTTGACTCAACACTCAGTACAAGGGGGAAGGGGACAATGCAGTAGTATATGTAGGTTTGATAACCAGCCTTACCTTTCCTGCTGCTTGTATCTGTACGGGGAGCTGGGGGGAAGCCAAGAGTCCAGGGGCTGGATGAAGAGCTTGAGGGTGCATGGGCCGCAAAGAAGACTGGAGGACAAAGCTGGCCTTAGGCATACTGGGGTACCCCTCATCTTAGTACCTTGACCTCCCAAGGGTCCATACTCACTGAGTCAGAGAAGCTAGTCTGCTGGTTGGCATGTTCCATCTGTTTTTGCAAAGAGAGGGCACTACCGGGCTGGAGGAACCCTGAGGGGAAAAGAGAAGTTTGAAATGAGCAAAGAGCAGTAGGACTTGTGACTCTGGGGCTTCTGCCCAGGGGGTTATCACCTGTCTGAGTGGGCTGAAAGTGGCCATGCACTGCATAGGGTTGTGGCTGTGGCTGAGATAGGTACTGCACCGCAGGAAATGCTGACGGAGCTGAGAAAGGTAGGAGATCATTAGTTTTTTGGTGTTCTTGCTGTTCTTCCCCTAATCTGAGGAGAACCAACACTCACCTCTGAGCTGCTGGCTAGGACTATAGGCAGGTTGTGTTGGCCCATAATGAGGTGGGGGCTGAGCAGTCCCATAAGCACCCCCTGGACTGCCTTGGAATTGTCCATGTTCTGGGGTTCCTGGAAAAGCAGCTGCTGATCCCACGTAGTGCCGGGTCTAAGGGGAAGTGAAACTTGCTGCTTAGAAAAAAAACCATATGTATATGCCTTTATGCTCATCACCTACATACTACATGGTTGGTATGTATGTACTTCAATGATTGGGATGCCAGAAGAATGGGAGGAGACATGGAGGTAGGATCAGATTTCAAGTCTTGGCTAGTCTAGGAGAAGCGGTTAAAAATCTTAAAAGACTTTCCCTCACCGTAAGCACTTGTGGTCCAAACATCTGCTTGGCTCTGTCAGCTGCCATGAGAGTACCTGGGCGGTTGTGTCCTCCAGGACTTCCTAGAAAGGGAGAGACGTTCATGATGCTGAAATAAGCAGCAACCTCTAGGAGGGCCTTTTCTGTGTCAGGCGGTTCTTAGCCCTCACCCTGCATGCTGAGGAGGTGAGTTCCTGTATGGACCGTCAGGCTCTGCTGGTATGCAGCTGATGTCAGGGTGGTTAAGTCACTGGAGGGAAAGGAAGACAGGTCAGTTAGGTGCCCTCCTGCTATTAGATTCTTTTGTCACCTGTGCCACCGCACACTTTTACTTCTAGCCATCCCACCACACCTCTGTTCCTTTCGCCTCCGTTTTTCTTCCTCATGCAAAACTTTTTTGAGCTGCAAGAAAAGCTGGTGCTTCTCCTCCTGTAGCGCTGAAAGCTTCTCCTGCAGCTTCAGAATCTGGAAGAGGGATGAGCAGATAAAGCAGGGAAAAGAAAGAAGCTAGGAATAGAAGCGATGGGAGACTACTTACTTGTTCCTTGGTCTCTTCTAGTGACATTCTCTCTTCCATTTCCTTCTTCTTTCTTCTCTCCTGCTCTTCTTTCATCTTCTGTTCCATCATCTTGTCCACCTCTTCCTCCTCTGAAGAATCAGAACGGGGAAGTGGCAAGGCGGTGTAAATAAGCTGAGCGTTAGACTGAAGACCAGCAAAAACCAGTTACTCCATCACAGCCACAGGGAGAACTTTGCTTCATTAGGTGCTCTCCAAGGTCCTTCCCAGCCCAGGGTTCTGGAACTTAGACTGGGCCTCTTCACTCACACCCCGAAGGCGCCGCTGCCTCCCTCTTAGCCTCGCCAGCAGGCGCACAGCTGGGCCAGTGGATGGGGGCAAGTTCGTGGGTAGCAGAGCCACCCTGGGCCGAGTGTCTGTCCTCCCGCTCTGGCCCAGGCTCACCCTGCCGTTTGCGTTCCCGCTCCATCATGATGTGCCGGTGCAGAGCCCTGGCCATGGCGTTGGAAAGCTTGGGGCGCTCCAGGAGTGCGGGCATGATGCTGTTGGTGACGCCTGGGCAGTGGGCACCCGACTCTGTCACTGACTGCCAGACCTCAGGCGGGGCCTGCAGGGAAGTAGGAGCTCAGAGGGAATGCGACCCGCCGAGGCGGAAGCCCGTCCGCCGCCCGCTCGCCACTTCGATCACGTGTCCCGGGCACCAGCGTCCCTCCCGGGTCTCAGACTCAGCGCCGGCGCGCGTGCAGGGGTCTTAGGCTCCGTGCCCCCGCCCCTCCCTCGTAGCCCTGGCGCCAACCCCCCTACCCGCCTTCTCGGCGCTTTCTCCGTGGCCTCCGGCGCGCCTTGGCCCCCACGTCATATCCGGCAGTCAGGATAAATCCTTCCGGAGTCACGACGGCAAACGGCTCAGCGGGTTGGACGAAAGGAAAGGCGGAAGCGCTGAGAGACGGGTGCCGGGATGTCCAAATTCCATGTGGGTTTCCGAGAGGCCTGGGAAGATAAAGCCCCTGGAACTCTTCACCTCGCGAGGCCGCAGGAGACAGAGGCAGAGGCAGAGGCAGATGCTCTGAAGACAGTATTTATTGGCTCCTTAGAAATCAGAGTCAGTAACAACTGTACAGAGGGCCCACAGCTTCCTCAGGCCGCCCTCCCTTGCCCACTCCCGCCCCATGGTGCCCTGTGGCCACGGAAAAAGCAGCTTCATGTGGGCACAGAGAGACTCCTTTGGGATTCACAGTAACCAGAAACAAAAACGGAAATAAATTAAGTGATATGGGGGAGGGTAATAATGGGGAGTCTTGTTCCCCATGTCAGTGCATGAAGGGGGGACCCAGAGACCGGAGCTGGGCTCCCTACAAGCTCCCTCTCAGCAGAGGGAGTGTGCTGGGCCCTGAATGTAGAGATGTGCTTCACACCTGGTCTAAATCAAAGCCTGTCTACGTGCTCCTCCCAGGAAAGCACCTGTACATGCCATACGTCACTGGAATGAGGTGGAGGCAGTCAGCATTCAAGAGTCCTAGGCTGTGCTTGGAGTAGTGGTATCTCGCCCCTTATTCCACCCGTACCAGCAGGGCATAGAGAATTGTGGCTCCCTTCTCCTTAGTGACCCACTCAAGTTCCGATGGGCTGAAGTGCTGGTCAGGAAGTTCTCTGAGGGCCGCAGAGGGAGGGCCAGGAGTATAGGAGCCAGGGCGTACACACACCTGAAAGGCCACCTGAGCCTGGTGTGTCCGCTGGGATTTTGGGTCCCGGAATCTGTTAAGACAAGCAGAAACAAGAGGAGAGTAAGGCTTCTAAGGCCCAATGACTGCTAATTCTGCTCAGTCCACCCAAGCCTTGCTGTTTTCTTGGTAATGCTCTCATCATGAATGGCTTAGCACTAACTATTTTGTGTGTATACTACTCTCCTCCCAAGTCCTGCTCAAGCTAACTCTTCCATAGCCCTATTCATGTGTTTATTTACCCTGACACTCTATTTCATGTCTTCCCAAACACCCCAAGTTCACTTCTTATCTACTTCACCCACTTTTGTGAGACAGTAGAGGGTCTCTACCAGGCTGGAGTCGGTCTCCCTAAATAAGGGGAGGATAACCTTAAACTTCTGATCCACTGGCACTGCCTCCTAGTGTTAGGAATTTATTATAATTCCCAAGTACAGTTTATGCAGTGCAATGGGTCAAACGCAGCAACTGGTGCAGGACATTCTGAACGACTTGGTATCCATATAGATTCAGGAAAGCAGGCACACCTATGCACTCATCTAACCTACACTCAGCATGGAGGTGGAGACAGGAGCCAAGACCAGCTGAGATACACCAAACAGGAGTCTGAGACCAGCTTGGACTACTTGACATCCTGTTTTAAGGAAAAAAAAAAAAATGCTGGGTGGTGGTGCCTCTGCACTTGGGAGGCAGAGGCAGGTGGATTTCTGAGTTCGAGGCCAGCCTAGTCTACAGAGTGAGTTCCAGGATAGCCAGGGCTACACAGAGAAACCCTGTCTCAAAAAAACCAAACCAAAATAAATAAATAAATAACAGCCTTCAGGTTATAATTAAAACAAAAAACAAAAAAAAGGAAAACAAAAAACAAAAAAACAAAGGGGGCTGGAGAGATGGCTCAGTGGTTAAGAGCACTGACTGTTCTTCAAGAGGTCCTGAGTTCAATTCCTAGCACCCACATAGTGGCTCACAACCATCTGTAATGAGATCTGGTCTCTGTGGCACATGCCTTTAATCCCAGAACTGGAATCTCTGGGTTCAAGGCCAACTTGGTTTATAGAATGAGTTCTAGGACAGCCAGGGCTACACAAAGAACCCCCCCCCCCCCGTGTGTGTGTGTGTGTGTGTGTGTATGTGTATGTGTGGTATGTGTGTGTATGTGTGTGTATGTATGTTAGGGGTAAAGGGGAAAGAACAATGACAGGTCAAGGAGCAATCAGCAACAAGCCAGGGTGGGAAAAAGGGGTATGGTAGGAATCCTAAGCACCCAGAAGTCCCTGGGACCTTGCAGACCGAGCCCCTAGTGCCCGCCCACAAGTACTCACTGCACTTTGGAGGCTAGGGTCTCTGCCCCAGCATACTGAAGGGAGGGGGAGAGCAGCACTGGAGGAGGCTGTTCCTCCCGGGGAGGTGCACAGTTCTCACCAGGCTCCTCAAATCCCACCCCAGGCTCTCCCTTCAAGAGTCGGCAACTCAGGATGGAGGTAGTACCTGTGAAGAGACCTGGGTGAGAGCAGCCCCATGATTCCTCCTAGGATCTGTAAAGCCCAACCCACTCTATGATACCTGCTCCCAACTCCCCTCGGTCCAGCACCCTCCGTACAACTGCTACACTGCTTCCATGATATGCCATGTGCCACTTCTTTGTTAGTGTGCCAGCTTCCAGATGAGGATTCACCCTAAAAGGACAGATAAGACAGATGAGTCAAAGGTCACTGGCTCCTCAAGATCACCCCCCACACAAGGAGTGCTATCATCTTTTCCCTCTTGGGACTCTTCCTTTCTCAGGGAAAATAGCCCAGAGGAAAATATATGCCTGTGGCCCATATGTACCTAAGATTGAACCTGCACCATCCAAAAGGCAGGGCATATTCCCGGGGAGGCTCTCCTCGGCGCCTATGGGCCTCATCTCCTCGCAACTTCCGGCAAGATTCACAGTAGCATAAGCTACGCTTCGGTGGAGGCATAAAATAATCTTCTGTAGGACAATGATTGACAGACAAGCTTGGTCCTGGGTCTCAACCATCATACTGCCCTCCAGCCAGTGTCCAGAGACATGGGAGCAAGGCAGGCTCTAGAGGATTAGGACTCACCAGGAAGCAACAGCAGTTCTTGGAAGCGGGAACAAAGGGCATGGTATTCGCAGCTCTTTAAAGGGCTAGCAGCAGGCGGTGGACCCCAGCACACACTTTCCTTGATACCTGGAAGAGCAAGGGGAGGAAATCAGGAGCTGGACTGGGAAGGACTGGATGGGGCACTGATGAGCAGACAAGGGCAGGATACCATCCCTTTGGGCTAGCGCACCGTCTACCATATCGGCTTTTTCCATGTCCCCTTGGGTTCCAGCAATCTTCCCACTGGCAGTCCCTGGGTCAGGGCTCACAATTGTCACCTGCAGAGCAAAGTCCTGATTGACACATCCCTAGATTCCTTTGTGAACCAGAAGTTTCCCAGGCTCCCAAGACTCCCTTTTCCTCTTCTCTGTTGCCACTAACCTGCTCACACTGTCCATAAAGGTCCACAAGTGCATGGCACGGCTGGGGCACATCTGGTACAGCTACCCCTTGGTCTACCCCATTGATGTGGAGATGGAGCCCTCCAGAGGAGTCTAGTCGAAGTCCCAGGATGGTGCCTTCAGGGCAGGTGTCAAGATTTGGCCCAAACTTCTCACAGATCTGAGAGGAAAGACCTACTGTCTTCAGACATCAGCCCCTTACCACCACCACACCAGTAGCCATCCTGCCCATTCACTCTTTGTAGCTGCCAGTCCCTAAGCTTTGCCTGTATCTTTGCCTACTGCCTAGGCTCTAGTCCCAGTTTATTTACCTAGAGTGCCCCTTCTTACTTCCAACTTTAACACTCTCAATGGCAGGAGCACAGGAGGAAACAATAGGCCAAAGGTTGTCCAGGTAATGACATGCACGGCTCCCTTTTGGCCAGCTCCTCTCCATTCAGAACCTTGGGTCACTTCATTCTTCCTGGCTCCCTCCTCACCTTCAGACCATTGTGGAAGACACCACGGCCCCGCAGGAGCCAGGCTGCCCGTTTAAGGGCACAAGCAGAGGCAGGGAAGTTAAGCCTCTCAGGTGGGCAGGTGATGACTCCCAGAACAAGAGAAGACGTCCACTGTCGGTTCAGGAAGTCTATTCGCACCTGCATGAGAAGGAACTAGTCCATATGCACAGCAAACAGACAGAGGCCACCCACCTACCCAATCAGTCTGTACAGACTGTGACCTGCCTGACATACTATCCCATCTTGATGTTTGTAGAGAGCAGAAACTATCAATTCACATATCTCCTTCCCTGTTTCTCCTGCTGCTGGGAACAGAATCCAGGTCCTTGTACATGTCAAACAAATGTTCTATACTGAACTATACCCCCAACAAACATTCTTTCTCTTTGAACCCTGGTCTGCTCCTAGAGACTACTTTCAACTGGCTTTTGTTCTTTTAGTTGTTTTGGTTTTTTTGTTTTTCGAGGCATTTCTCTGCATAGCCCTGGCTATCCTGGAACTCGCTATGTAGACCAGGCTGGCTTCAAACTATATCAAAGATCTGCCTGCTTCTGCTTCCAAGTGCTGGGATTAAAGGCAGGCGCCACCACCACTCAGCTAAGCTGGCTAACTTCTTACCTCTCACCCTGGAGTAGTAATAGCAGCTAGGCAGGAAGAAAGGCACACCTGAACAAGCATATGGGGCACCAGGGGCTGGCTGATGACAACGATGCCCTGGTTGTAGCTAGCCACCCGAGTGGCTGTACGGTTCCCGTTGGATAAGAGGATATTCTTCCCATGGTTCTCCAGGAATTCAAGGGCTGTGGGCATAATCCCCACTTGATTCTGGCCCTGGTGTGGAAATACAGACTGAGCTGCACAGGGTATCAACAGCAGGTTTTACCCACCACACTAGAGTATACATAAGAGTTCAACTATGAACTCTGCTGGACTAGTGAAGATAGCTCTCACTACCCTGGTAACTGGACTGGTAGCCTAACAACCCAGCAGGCCCTACTGCAGCCTCTTACTCTCAGCCCATGCTCCTCGCCATCATCCTCTTCCTCGCCCTCACTGCCAGTATCCGAGCTGGGAGAAGGCGGCTGGGTGCCTTCTGATTCTTCCAGCCTTGTGGAGCTGACAATGGCCA